ACACGGCTGTGCAGGGGGGAAGGATTAAAATCCTTTCCCATATGCTGTGGTTCCAATCCTGATCAATGTAGAGGGTGTGCTATTATTGTTTAAATGGAAACAATTGGCAAGTAAGAAAGATTTGTTAAAGGAAATCTGGGGATAGTTGGAATCAGTACAAATAAGCGTTTTATTGCAGAAACTGTATAAACATGTTGCTTATACAATGGGAAATCTAACATCTGGCTGAGAAGCTGTCATTAGGAAATGTTGGGAATGGATTTATGAGCTTGTGAATTGGATACCAAGCCAGGAAATAATAGGGGTTTTATGGAGCAAATTAGTCTCTGCTTAGAAGCCACTTTGCCAGTGAAGCAGTATATAAATGAATAGTTAGTAATACTCAAGAGTATTACACCATGTCTATTATTTTCAGTGGGCTGTACTCTGGATACAACCCATACACTTTTAAAGTCCATTGTTAGTTTGCTTCAGTGAGCAGTACTTAGAGCTGTAAGATACATTTTGTTAATACCTTTTAAGTTGCACAAATCTATTTCTAGCCTCGTTTTGTAAAGATGAAACTTTTCAATTAAAGAAGAAAAAGTTAGCATTTCTGCCCGAGTCCTCCTCCCTGCTCTTCTTCGCAGGTTGCCACTTGCAGGGGGGCATAACAGATGCTATGCGATTTCAACAATAAGTTACCATGGAGACCAGCCAAGGAAATGCGGGTCAGCTATGACCACACATTGCCCTGTAATAGCTTGGACCGAACTAGCCTTTGCCACTGAATTGCTTTACTTCTAGGAGATAAACACAGAGGGAACATTTAGAGTGTCTTGGAGAGGGGGCTGTGTGGAAATCAGGCATGATCTTAAATATATTCTGTTGAAATCACTGTGATTCAAACATCCTCAATTTTGACTAAATTGTGCCATTACTTATTCGCTTACTCAATCTAAAACATCTTGCTGGCTTCCTAGCCTATCCAGAGGCTGTTGTAACAGCTTTTAGATCAATAAAGGTTTTTGCAAGATGCAAAAACAAGGCACAAAGATAAAACGTTGAATCCTTCCCCACCCCCCACCCCAAAAAGGCAATATTTATTCAGAGAAGTCAATATTCAGAAAGATGCCTGCTGTGAATTTGTGCTATAAAAGTATGTTGTTGCTGTTGTTTTATTAAACATTGCCAGATGTTGGCATGCAGATGAATTCTGATACACAGATCGAGGCCATTTCATATATTAGACAAAAGAGGAAACTGGTTCGCCCCAGCAAATGTACCTGTTTGAAGTTTTTGCAGATCAGTTCTTTTTTCCCCACCTGCACATTTTAAGCACACACTTCAAAAACATAATGCATGGAACAGCTTTCAGAAGCAAAGTCTGTAAGTTGCAAATCTTCAGACCCCCCTCGGAATTTCCTGTTTGGGGACTTTTTGCTGCCCTCTGCTGGTGACAATACTGCCAGCAAGCAGCCTGCTAAGAGAATTGCACAGGGGGACAACTGTGCCTTATCCAAACCCCACCAATGATATAAGGATGTGAAGGTTGCATTGCTCTCCAAGTCAGAATCCTCCTTTATCTATATCTCAGATAGCCAGGACAATCCAGCCCAGTGTGCATAACCATCTGTCTTGAGAGTGGAACATGAACAGAAAATCTTTTGCAGATCACCTTCCTCTGTGTCAGGGTTTCACATTTGCGTGTTCAGACCCAGAGAACTCCCCCCTAAATAAAGTCACACTTGACTCACATTTGGTTTTTGGAAGAATTTAGGCCACAACTTTATTGATTACAGAAAGTGAGTGGTTGCATAGGCTCTGGTTTGACTAGCTTCCTGCACCCTTGCAGGTAGCGCTGACCCAGAGCTCTATCATAGGTCAGCCAAGAGTGAACACCTGAGTTAGGTAGAAAGCCCGGGAACGGACTATGTCCACTCCCCAGATGCTCTCGTGGACTCAGGCACGGGCACAACCCCCTCTTGGGGGTTGAACAAAACCAAGTTGAGTCCCTGGATTCCTTTAACGGAATACCCTTCACATGGGGATGGTGAGGCCATTCTCCCTTCCCTATCACCTGAACCAGTGCCTATCTGCAACCTTACAAGTTGTGACGATTTGCTACGCGGCATGCGAAACCCAAATGGCAACAGCCAATCAGCCAAGTGGGGAAAATTCCTGCCGTGCCCCTGTCCCAACAATAGACGACACACGATGGCATAGCAAGTTCAATCACAAATGCCCTAACTATAGGGAGGAGTGGGCGGGTGTTCCGAATGCACGAGCCAAAAGAGGAAGCTCTGGGTCACGTGCATAGGGATATATAGGTCCCTTGGTCTGTTTAGACAGCTCCCCATTGGCCAGATTAAACCCAGCAATGAGGGACCTACCAATTGGGTGTTGTGGCTGTCCAATATACCCACCCACAACCAAGAGGTCAGTCTCCAGGTCTCACCGCAACATATGCCCTCTTTTAGGGAGGATACGCTCTAGCGGAGCAGCTCCCTTGCATCAGCCTGCCAAAAATCAGCACTTGACACAAGCTGTTAAAATACATAGTATATAGAGTTTGGTGAGTGATTTAGGTCATGTTTCTAGAAAATAATTATGAGTGCCTTGTGCACATTCCTGTCCTTTGAGGTCGTACTCCGCTTTTTAGAAATGGCACACTGGCCTTTTAGAAAGGTGAGTCAAAAGTAGGTGCTAAAATGTATTGCTCTTTTCTCCAGGCACCATCTCTGCCTCCACCCCATCATTGACCTCTCGGGATATTTTGTTGTGCGGTGGCTAAAAGTATTTGGCGTCCTCTCATTCTAAGCATAGCTGGATTCAAATCCCTGCTCGGCCATAAAATGGTTTTGACCAAGTCATCATCTCTATCTCACGTGGGCATTGTAAAGGCAGTGCCAGTGACAGATTGTTTTGTGCCCTAGGGAAGGCTAGCAACTTGCACGTACAAACAGGTGCCAAAAGTGGCTAGCTTCAGTTTTCAAAATCGTATGTCTTGTAGAAAGTACGAAAAGCATAAAACACGAAACTGCTAAAGTTGCTTTAAATTGCAATAAGAAATAATGTAGCAATGTTTGATTATGTTTCTCAAATACAAAAGAAAATGTTTTAGCACACAGATCCTGTTGAATAATCTTGTGAAGTGTGGTATTAAAATTTAAGTATGTGAAGATAAATTAGGGCGATATCATGTTACTCCCATGAGCATCCTGGAAAAAGAGTGGGAAGAATTACAAAATTGACGAATCCATTCTCCTATACTTATCTGTGGGGTTTCTTGCTTAGTTGGGCTTGGTTAATCCGCAGGGGTCAGCAAACTTTTTCAGCAGGGGGCCAGTCCACTGTCCCTCAGACCTTGTGGGGGGCTGGACTATATTTTTTTGCGGGGGGGAATGAACGAATTCCTATGCCCCACAAATAAACCAAAGATACATTTTAAATAAAAGAACACATTCTACTCATGTAAAATAATAATAATAATAATAATAATAATAATAATAATAATTTATTTATACCCCGCCCATCTAGCTGAGTTTCCCCAGCCACCCTGGGCAGCTTCCAACAAAGTCTTAAAATACAGTAGTCTGTTAAACATTAAAAGCTTCCCTAAACAGGGCTGCCTTCAGATGTCTTCTAAAAGTCTGGTAGTTGTTCTTCTCTTTGACATCTGGTGGGAGGGCATTCCACAGGGTGGGTGCCACTACCGAGAAGGCCCTCTGCCTGGTTCCCTGTAACCTCACTTCTCACAGGGAGGGAACTGCCAGAAGGCCCTCGGCGCTGGACCTCAGTGTCCAGGCAGAATGATGGGGGTGGAGACGCTCCTTCAGGTATACTGGACCAAGGCCGTTTAGGGTTTTAAAGGTCAGCACCAACACTTTGAATTGTGCTCGGAAACGTACTGGGAGCCAATGTAGATCTTTCATGTAAAAACACGCTGTTTCCTGGACCGTCCATGAGCTGGATTAGAAGGCGATTGGGCCGGATCCAGCCCCTGGGCCTTAGTTTGCCTACCCATGGGTTAACGCAATCTGCAGCCCAGGGTGCAAAGTAAGGCTATGAACTGGCCGTGAAAGAAAGTGGCATGAGGCAGAATTATTCAAGGACCACAGTCAGTACTCACGTGTTCCAGGACGCGTCCCAACACAGCATAATTCTTGTGGAACCTGGGATGCAGGTGGCGCAGTGGGAGACAAAGTTTTTTCTAGCTTTCTGACTGGTGTGTCCTCTAAGCCATCCACTGTGCTTGTCATCCTTAGATTAATTATGTTACTATAGCTGGTCTTCCTGATCTTCTGCTTGTTATTTACCAAACTCAATCCCTTGCCAGCTTTGAACCATGCTAACTCAGCTCATCAAACTGAAAACTATCCCCCCCCCAAAAAAAACCCCTTTAACCATTTTGTAGCCTGATGCCTACTACAGATGCTCCAAGTGTCCCTATTTTTCAGGGACAGTCTCGGATTTTGAGAAGCCATCCTGGTTTCTGATTTGATCCCAGAATCTCCTGCTTTTCCTTTGTTGTTGTTTAGTTGTTTAGTCATATCCGACTCTTCATGACCCCATGGACCAGAGCACGCCAGGCACTCCTGTCTTCCACTGCCTCCCGCAGCTTGGTCAAACTCATGTTTGTAGCTTCGAGAACACTGCCTAAGCATCTCATCCTCTGTCGTCCCCTTAGGATGTCCCTATTTTCATCGGAGAAATGTTGGAGGGTATTCTGCTGGACCCTTACGAGTGTGAAAAAGATGAACAATCATAACAAGATTCGGCCTGGGGCTAGTTATTAGGAAATACATTTTTAATCCGTTTTGCCATAAAACGTTCAAAAGTTCTTAAAGAACTTCTGTGTGTGCACTTGTCACAATGTTAAGTTCTCAGGAAGTTAACTGGCCATGCTGTTATCCACAGGAGTTATCCTCAGATTCCCTATCCCTGATTACAAGAAAGGTAGAATGTCCCTATTTTTAAATTAGGGGAGATTAATTGCCCACCCCCACCCCCCACCCAGTAAATACAGTAAAGATGACTTGAGGGGGAGCAAGAGTTGGAGAAAAACATAGGTTATTTTTTCTCCAACTCTTGCTCCCCCTCAATTTGTTTTGCTTTCAGCTATTTTGGCCTTTTAAAAAGATTAATTATAAAACAGCTGGATACCGGAGGATATCCATACAACACTGTAAGATATGAGAGCCTTCTTGGATGGGTATCAGATATTGAACCGTTATGACATAAAAGCTCGGATGAGGCAGCTTGAGCTAGCACATTAGTTCTGTGCCTCCAGCATACTAATCAGCATGAAGCTATTAACATATTAATTTTTCTACATTACAACCATGCTGATGTTTGGATCCATTCAACTGGAAGCAAGTTAACTTGTTTCTGAATGTCTGCAGGCCTACAGAGCGATTACGTGTCTATTGTAAAAAGCTTATCGGCAAAGTTGAAGAGGAACGGGAATGTTAATCCTAAATGGGAAGCTCAGATCTTATGTACAAAGATACTTTTTTTCATTTAAAAGCACCGAGACCTTGTTTCATGTAATTTAATGTTGTTGTTGTTGTTGTTGTTGTTGTTGTGTGTTTTAGATGGTCTCACACCTTACATACCCCATTTGATTATTGTGATCAGCAAGATAGTGTAGAACCTCCAAGTGTCCCTGTTTTCCAGGGACAGTCCTGAATTTGCAGAAACCGTCTCAGTTTCTGATTTTATCCCAGAATGTCCCGCTTTTCCTTAGGACGGCCCTATTTTCATCAGAGAAGTGTTGGAGGGTATGGAATTGGACATCCTCAGGGCTTTTGCCATACTAAGAGAATGAGGGAGGTGTTCATGGCACTGAGTCACATCTCTGTTTTCATCAGAGAAATGTTGGAGGGTATAGAGTAAGATGTCCCTATTTTTATCGGAGAAATATTGGAGGGTATATTGGTGTGGTGGAACTCCCTCATGGCAGGGCCAGCCCAAGGCATTTTGGCACCTGAGGCAAACCATAAAATGGTGCTGCCCTCTTCACCAGGGAAAAAAGAGGCGAGTGAAGCTCTACATCAAAGGGGGAAATAAATATCTACGTTGGGATATGCAGCCCCTGTGACTTCTGCTGTTTGAGGCGGTTGCCTCACCTTATCTCATGAGTGGGCTGGTACCTCCTGGTACATATCTATTGTCCTTTTAGCCCTTGTTGAACATTTTCCTTTTTTCAACAAGCTTTTTGAAGTGAAGACTCTTGGCTAAGTCTGTCTAAAAAAAATTAAAAGTCCAGCACTCTAATTTATCACACTGGCAAAAGATCAAAGGTGTAGCAGTTGGGTAGAATTGCTGTTGCCACAGTCCTGGCCCAGTGGCCGAAAGGCAGTACTAGGCATATTCACTGGCATCTTCCAGTCTTGAAAGCTGTTGGTGGCAAGGGAGCCCCCAGGTATTGGCAACCCTGATCAAGCTTACCACAGCAGCAGAAGTTTTCTTTAAAAAATTATGCCAGTTCTCCTGGACAGCACATGGGAGAGACGTGTGTTCTGTTTGTAAATTGGTCCCTGAGAATCATAATGAAATAGGGATTATGAATAATAGATAATGGTGAATAACAGATAATGATGGAGTGTGTGTGTGTGTGACTTCGGGGCTAGAAGATTGCAGGATACCAAGTGCAAAGAAAGTGTCAAAGAGAGACTGCCTCTAAAAGCAATTGCAGAACCCCACTAAGTACAATGTCTGCCTTTATCGCAGTAGCCACTTATTTCATTTCATTTTACATTTCTTGCTAAATGCTATGCTCAGCAGCAGTCCCCAGAAGGCCTAGAAGCAGAAGAGCAAACTGTAAGCTTTCATATTGTAAAAAGAAACCCAAGGGAGTGAACAAAATTGTACCATGCAGGGAGAGAAAATGCTCCCCCAAAAAGCTGTTGCCCACAGAATAAGCAGACAGCACCATCCACCACTACGGGGGGGGGGGGGAAATTGTTATAAAAGCATTCCCCCACCCCCCAGACTTACAAGGGCTACAAACAAATTAACACTCAAATTCTGCACAAGGTTAAGAGACACTTAACCCACTGGAATCAGTAGTCAATCCTCCACAAAGAATTAGGCTGTAAAAATTACGGGGGTTGAACTAGACTCGGAGGGATTTACTTCCAAGAACTCATTTTCATGATTGAATGGTGTGTCTTCTAAAACCTTGTAAAATACCCCAAGGGTGTTCCATCACCAAGGTTAAAAATGAGCTGGAAATGTCAATTTAAGCTCTACAATTCTATGATTTCTACTATGATTCTGTTATTTCAGTGCTCATATTGGAAATGAATTGAGCTGTGGTCAGTGACCTTATATTCAGCTATGAAAAACAAGCAGAACTGAACTGCCCTAGAGACAGCGTAGAAGTAAGGCGGAACGGAATCCCAGAGACGGCCAACATTACAGCTCTGTCCTCTTTTGGCAAAGAAGAGCAGCAGGTCCCTGACCGGTTTGTGGCTGGTGTTAAGGACACAGAGACTTCTACTGCTGCAAAGCATGAGGCTCTTGTGAACTGCAAGTGTGTGCCGTGTGAGAAGTCACTTGCTGCACTGAGAAAGGCAAGGAGAGATGCCCAGCAAATTTCCAGATAGTGTGCCAATAACTATCAGCTAAAGCTGGAGCAGAGCATTCAACTCGCTCCCGACATGGGCAACACTAGCAAAATGTACAAAGGCGTGAAGACAGTCTTTGGACCAACAGATTGCAGTCACTCATTGACAGGGTCTATCCTGAGTCATAATGTGGCTTCAGAGGTCAACAGTCAACATGATTTTCCAACTGCACCAGCTGCAGGAGAAATGCCAAGAGCAGAGGCACCCTTTGCGCATCGCCTTCATAGACCTGACGGAGGCCTTTGACCTTGTCAACTAAAAATGACTCTTCACACTACTCAACTAGCTAGGATGCCCCGCTAAGCTCCTCAACATGGCCGTGTCCTTCCACGAGAACATATGTGGCACTGTGCCAGGATGCTGCCAGCGGTTCCCGGCTGGTTGTCCAGCAATGTATAAAGACACCTATTTCAATATTTACAGCGAGAGGCTATAGAACCCAGCCTCTTGGATAATGGCATTGTCCTGAGTGAATCTCCACCCCACCCTCTGTCTCTCCCACTTCCTCATTCGTCACTTCTGCTATGTACCCTCTGTCTTTGAGCTCTTTGCTCTCCTACTTTTAAGGCTCTCTGGGTTCTGGGAGATGGAGGGTCTGGAATGCTTTCTAATGACAACGTGTCAGCCAGCTGCTGCTCCTGTTCTGCCTGCTCCTCCTCTCCCACTGTTCCCCAACTTTTCCTCTCATCTGTCTCTGAGCTGTGACCTCCCGCAGGCCCCTGTTGTAAATCTATACTGTCTTTCTCTTCCTCCTCCCTGGAAGGTTCAGGATGGGGAGGCAGTCTCCACCTTTCCTCCTCTGCCCAGTCCCTGACGGTTCATCCTGGGACACCTTCCCTATAAAGAACAATGTGGAACGGGTGTGTTCTTGCCCCAACTCTCTTTGGCATGTTCTTTTCCCTGTTGTTCTCAAATGTTTCCAGTTTGACTGAAGATGTTGGGTGCTTTCATTCAAGGAGCAACAGGGGGGGTCTGTTCAACCTAGCATGTCTCCATGCCAAGACAAATGTCTGTTGGGTTCTTATCCACAAGATGTTGTTTGTGAATGACGCAACTTTGACAGTGCACTCTGAGAAAGCTCTACAGAGACTCGCCAGCCATTTTGCCCAAGCCTACATGGAGTTCGGCCTCACCATCAGCCAGACAAAGGTCAACATATTGGGTCAGGATATCGCCAGCACTCCGTGCATCAGCATTGGTGACCACATGCTTGAGGTGGTAGACAATTTTGTTTACCTGGGCACCACCATAACCTTTCCATTGATGCTGAGCTGGACAAGCTTATTGGTGAGGCAGCTATGGCAGTGGCTCACCTCTCCAAAAAGATTGGGGAGAATGTGATGCTAGCAACCAATACCAAGAGGAAGTGCTCCTAGGCTTGTGTATTGAAGTGAGTCATTATGGAAGTTGTGGGCAACTTACACCTGCCAGGAGGAATGTGTAATGCCTTCTGGATGTGTTGCGTCAGAAATATTTTCACTGAATATCCTTTTAAAAAGATATCTATTTGACAAATTATATTCATTTTAATTATTATCAAAGCAAATAGTGGGTTAAAATCAACTGCCCAGATTATAAAATAAAAAAAAATCAAAGTTGTATCTTTTGCCAGTGTTGCTTTGTATGAATGGACAAATAAATAAATATACACAATGGAGTTATTTTAGTTCTAAGTGCCCTTTAAAGCATTCCAGATGGATGGGTTGAGAAGCCACCCCCTAGCTGTGAATTCTGTTGCGAGCTGAAATCTTGGCCTTGCTCCTGTTGCACATTGTCCGTGATAATACGGAACGGCATAATGCAAACCCTACTGACACAGATGGCGCAGCTGCTGAATGCACGGATACTCTTTAGCGCATGCTGATTTGATGCAAGTCCTCATTGCCTAAAGGGACTTGGAGGTTCACGCAGAGATAAAGCAGACACTTCTCAGTCAAATCCCTTCCATCGATCCAAATCTTCCAAGTTCTTCTGAAGACTTTTCCCTTTCATCCAGACAAATTGAAGCTTAGACCAGTCAGCAGTCTACAGCAAAATAGCCTCCTGTGCGTGCTTCTGATTTAACTATCAGTGGGGATGCATTTGTAACTCCTCTACCTCAGCATTCCCACTTACCCAGAGCTTTCGTTTTCAAGGGCAAGTCTTCAATGCTAAAGGTGTTTTAAATTTTACTCCAGTTTGACCACTGCTTTCCTTCAGCTGCCTAGGTTTGGTCATAATTTTGGGTTGCAGTCAACGTGTTCCACCAGTCTCCTTGCACAGCAGAACACCCGTCTCTTCCCCACACAGGCCTCCTAAACGCACTGGAACAGATCTGGGGACAACAAAGGACACACATGGGAGTGGGGAGTTTTCTCTTCATTAGCTAGTGAGCATGAGCCCAACACTCCACCCCTCACACATTCATTGCCCACAGAGGTGGTTGTCCGTATGTGTCAGCATGCTTATGTGCAGGACTTTTCCCCTCCAGCCAGAACTCTTTTCCGGCACCTT